AAACAATGTCCAGGGGCCATGGCTCATGCCTGTAATCCCAGTACTTTGGGAGGCTAAGGCAGGTGGACTGCCTGAGCTCAGGAGTTTGAGACCATGCCTGGGCAACATGGTGAAACTCCATCTCTACAAAAAATACAAAAATAACCAGGTGTGGTATCGTGCATCTGTAATCCCAACTACTTGAGGGGGTGAGGCGGGAGGACTGCTTGAGCCCGGGAAGTGGAGGCTGCAGTGAGCTGTGTTCACACCACTGCACTCCAGCCTGGGACAAAGTGAAGACTCTTGTCTCCAAAAACAACAACAATAAAAACAACAACAACAAAAATGAAAATAATAATAAAGAGACACAGAAATCTAGCCAAGCAGAATTATTTCGTCTTAGGAGTAACGGTGAGAGACAAGCCTAAGGTAGGGTTAGATCATGAAGAGACTTGAGTGCCATGTCATGAATTTTGGATTTTGTTCAGCAGGTGATGGGGAAACTACTGAAACGATGTGAACATCAAAGTCACATGATCAGGGTTAGGCTTCAAAAGACTCAACTCGCATGAGTGGGTAGAAAAGATCGGCAAAAAAGAAACTGGAAGCAGGAAAACCAGATGTTAGAATAGTCTAAGCAAAAGGTAATAAAGTCCTAAAGTAGGGCAGTGGCAGTGAAACTGGAACAGAAGTAATGACTACAAAAACCACTGCATACTATTAGAATACAGTCATACATTGCTTAATGAGGAGAATACATTCTGATAAATGCATCTTTGTGCAAACATCACACAGTATACTGACACAAACCTAGGCTATAAACCTGTACAGCATGTTGCTGTACTGAATACTGTCGCAACTGTAACACAATGGTGTTTGTGTATCTAAACACAGAAAAGGTATAGTAAAAATACAATATTATAATCTTATGGGGTCATCAAATAGGCAGTCCTTCACCTCACAAAATTATAGCCAGATGAGGCAAACAGCCATTTTCCACGTTAAAGAGAAAAAGGGGCTCACATAGGTACTTACCAGTCATGAAAAATAGGAATACGATGTATAAATACTTTTGTTGGATATCTTACTATATTATGCATTCAACAATTATTTTTTTTTTTAGTCCCAAGCATTGTGCAAGGCTATCTGGTAGCAAACAAAAGGAATTATTATTTTATTCATTGAGCTTAGAGATATGGAAATTACACTATAGCAAATCTTTATGAACATTCCTACACTAATATGCAAATAACTTGTTCCCTAAAATAAATTTTTGAGCTGGTTGTTCATGCCTGTAATCCCAACATTTTGGGAGGCCAAGGGGAAGATGGCTTGAGGCCAGGAGTTTGAGGCTGTAGTGAGCTATGAGAGCTATAACCACCACTGCACTCCAGCATGGGCAATAGAGCAAGACCGTCTCAAAAAAAAAAAAAAAAAAAAGAGACAATTTTCTTTGATATTAATCCTAATTATGTGCTTCCGGAATTCAAAGCCAATTGTTACAGACCAGTTTTCGCAGACTTCACTTCAATCTAAGTCATTACTCAGATTAAAAATCAAGTGAAAAAATACTTATTGAGTGTCCATTCAATACAGACTTTGAGGTAGATGTCATGAAAAATACATATAATTATTTCCAAACATGCCAAGAATGGGGTAGGGCGGAAAAGAAAAAATGCCAAGAACTGAGGCAAGTAAAAAGTGCCCCCCTCCCCCACTTTCAATTAGGGAACAAACTGTAATTCATACCCTAAAAGATCTATGGCATAATTTTATTAGGGGATAAAAAACAAATTGATAAAATAATTTCAGAAATTGCTTATAAACAGGTTGAGGTAAATACAGATTTAGCCACTATTTACTTTACAAATGAAAAATTTGAAAACAGGAGCAGCAAAATTTGGAATGATTTAAGAAAAACCTAAAAATAATGGAATGAAAAGATCAGAGATCAGGAATCTACAAGCTTTTTTTTTTTTTTCTTTTAAAAGACAGAGTCTTGCTGTGTTCCCCAGGATGGAGTGCAGTCACCTGATCATAGCTCACTACAGCATCAAACTCCTGGGCTCAAGCGATCCTCCCACCAGTGCCTCCCAAAGTGCTGGGATTACAAGCATAAGCCACTGCGCCTGGCCCAAGCATTTCCACAAGCATTCAAGGTGACTCTCAATCCAAGTAGCCAAGGATAACACTTTGAAGAATCCTGCAGTGTTTTAACTCAACTAAGATTTTCAATTTGTAAACAAGATACACTGAATAGAGCAGGGTGAAATGCCTTACTCAATTTTAGAGTTTCCCATTCCTGTCAGGCTGACAGAGTTGTCTTCTTTCAATCCTGAGCTTTTATTGTTTCTCAGGCCTCTCACATTATCTTGCTCTTACTGCCTTCCCTTCCCCCCGTTTTTAGACAGGGCCTCGAATTGGCTCACTGCAGCCTCCACCTCCTGGCTCAAGCAATCCTCCAACCTCAGCCTCCAGAATAGCTGGGACTACATGTGCGCACCACCGCACTGGGATAATTTTTAAAATTTTTTGTAGAGATGAGGTCTCACTATATTGCCCAGGTCGTTCTCGAATTCCTGGGCACTTCTACCCACTTTCAAAGTCAGCTTCTGTGATAAGGCCTTTCATGCCCACCTGGGTTCACATCTAGTTGTATCATTAACTTAAGTATATATTTTTCCACAACTGAAACAAAAAGCTCCCTGGGGAGAAACCGAGCTTTTACATTTGTATCCCCGCCACAGAGAGATATGCCAATATTGTATTCCTTTTTACCACCTTCAATTTGTAAGTAGTATCTTGCTTTTCTTCAATACTTAGCTCAGTTAAAGGTATCTAAAGAGTCCTAAATAAATGGCAGCTTGTACTTCTTTGCCCTGTAAAGCTGCCATTTTTCTAACTGTGGGTCATGCCTCACAGTCAAATGTGAAATGAATTTAGTGGGTCATGAACATTAAAGAAAAACAGAACAGTTTTATGTATGTAATGTAAAATGTATTTCTTACTGTGGGTTTCAGTCACAAAAGCTTGAAGTCCCAATTTTGTAAATGTTAAACTTCTCGAATACATCTTCAGTATTTGGTAAATAAGGATATTTTCTCACCCAATTAACATTCAGCCATACAGTCTTCCCATTCTCCACTCCTCAAAGCTAACGCTAGGTTTACTTATTTACTCCCCACTTCCTTAACTCGAATGAAAAGGAAGGGGTAAGTCCTAAGTCTACCGAGCATTCTTCACAGTACTGTATAAGCATTCACTGGAGTCTGTATTCCTTCAGATGAGTCATTTGAGTGTTATAATGCACTTCGGATGGGTTCTTGGAGCACCCATCTCTCTCAACTCAAGTTTATCTGAAATTCTAGATGTCCCAAATAGGGTTTTGAAATTTTCACAATGCGCTTCATCCACATGGGTTTGTGCTCAATGTGTTTCTTTCAAGATCACCTTTCCTTACCTTGGAGCAAGGTTCTCTATTTTCACCATAACATTACTTTGATAATTGGTAATTCTTGATAGTCTCCACAAATGTTTAAATTATTTATATTCCAAACCAGTTCTATTTTCTCCTCTCCTAACGTATGGTAGTATTTACATTGACAAAGTTGTGCCTTTTCCAGGTTTCATATGTATCTTGCATCTTTCTCAATCAGTAGGCAAAACGTGAAGGCTTATCCAGGCCTCATAATGCACTAACTGTGACCTGTCACATCTGTAATCTAGAAATTAGAGTTTGTTACCAACAAAACTCTTGTTAGTTTGAACTCAAACCCCATTTCCTCCAACAACTTTCCTCAAGCCCTCCAGTGAAATGTCTCCTACCCTCCAAACCTAACACTCAGTTCAAACCTCTTTAACACCTATCAGTCTATGCAAAATTCTAATTAGCTATGAATATGTCTCCCAGATTGACTCTATGTGTATACCTTGCACTGCCCTCCAAACACCAGAGTGCAAATTTCACATAGTAGGGCCTCCGTACTGGCGTACTGAACTGTACTGAAAAGGCGAAGAACTTAATTCGGTGGATATAAAAATAGGTTAGGTGCTGTTTCTAACTGCATACTCTCCATAGTTTCAATTTGCTCAAATGTAAAATATTTTTTAAAATACATAAAACTATTAAAGATATAATGGGAGAACCATGGGAATGGCAATAAAGAATGTAAACTTACAACACGAAGGCCTAAGACAGATGTGATGCCCTCTGCGACTTCCACACGTGGCCCAGCAAATCGGTGCCTGAATTCCTCTCTCGGCTTTCACCATTCTGCCCTGTCATCTCCCTTTACTCTGTTTCACAAATCTACCACACCACAGAGTGTGCAACAGACTCGTTCGTTGAACTCGCCTTAGCTCTTTCTCATAGGACCATACACCTCAAAGCGTATTAGGTAACCGACCCCTTCTTGCCTTGCTCCCGTTCCGGCCTCTGTTGGCCACATGTGCCAGAACAAGAGTGGGCAACCATTTCCCTTTAACAGTCCCAACTAAAATGGAAGCGCGTCTAGACCTGGACACCTTTAATCCTGTGTAAGCCTCAGAATTTCTAGGTCACCGTACTTCCTCCACTGGCTACTGTCTCAATGTGACTTGAGACAGACATCTGTCTTCCGAGCGCAGGCTTTCCACAACTTCCCAACACCACCTTAAGGTCCCATGACGCTCCACATGCAGCCTCCTCTGCAGGCCTCAAGGAAGGATGCTGTGCTATTCTAGCAGTCAAGGTTCCCAAAGATGGCTTGACCTCTGGGCGCCTATCTGAATGGACCCCTCAGACCTTCTAACTTCTTTCCTCGAAACTGGGCTTCCCCACCCATCCTATACTTCCTGAGTTTCCCCCACTCCCCAAATAACATGACCCCCTAATCACCGCCTGCTCCACTTGGGAGAGCTGCCTCTCGGCTTTGGACTAAGCACTCTTTTCCCTTCACGGCTGGGGCGCGGCCTCCCCCCAGCTCGAGGGTCTCCGCGCCCGCCCTTCGCCCGTTCTCTACCGCCGCTCATCCCATACTCACTTTGGGCTTCTCGGACAGTTTCTTCCGGTTCTTCTTCTTCTGTTCCTCGCTCCGGAGATTCTTCAGTAAGGCCAGGTCGTCGGGGGCCGCAGCCGGCGCAGCCGCCGCCTCCTCCCGCTTGCGGGGCGGGCTCCTCCGCTTTTTGCGGGCGCCGGCGCAAGCCGCGGCCCAGCCGTAGCCCAGCAGAAACAGCAGCAGCAGCCCGAGCGCGCCCGTGCCCACCAGGATCACCCAGCCAGGGTACCGTTTCGGCTCCAGCCCCAGGTCGAGGCCCAGCTCGGTGCGCAGAAAGCCTAGGCCGACCGAGAGCATTTCCCGCAGCCGGGCCGAGCCCTCCTCGGCCTGCTGGGCCAGCTCGTCCTGCCAGCTCCGTGCAGCCATCTTCCCTCCCGTCAGAGGGACTCGCAGGATGACGCCGGGGCGCGGAGACGCCGTGGAATAGTCAAGGGAAGCGAGGAAGGGCCGGGCCGGGTAGCCTCAGGCCGAGCGCATCGCGGCCGTCCCTCGCGCTGGAGCCGGGGATCGGCCGCTGCCACCGCGGGGAGGGCGGAGGGGTCTCCCAGGTTCCCCGCTGTCAGCCTCACTCCGCCGCCGCCAGGAGACCCGGGAGGCGGGAGGGAGTGTCTCCAGTGGCGGCCGCTAAGCGGCGTCTAGGCGCCAGCGCCAGGCCCCGCTGTCCTCCCTCGGCGGAACAATGGCGGCTTGGGCCGCGATCCACGCCGCGCGCGGGGCCTACCGTGGGTCACGTGGCGCCAGTGGGCGGGGCGTGGGCGTCACGTGGGGGCGGGCGGGGTCGGGTGGGGCAAAGGCGCGGCCCGGAAGGTTGGCTGTGGTGGGTTCGGGCCTGGTTAAGACGCGGCGTTGAGGACCCGTGACTATCGACCAGAGGCTGGGAGGGGTTAATTAGCGGACGCCTCCGCGGGGTGGCTGGTGGCGCTGTTAGGAGACGTGGCGCGACGAATGAGTACAGGGGAGGGGCTTCGTGAAGAAGGGGGAGGGGGGAGGGTTGCAGCGCTAGGAACGGGGTCACCGGGTCTAGGTCAATGTCGCCCTGGCAGGTGTAGGGCTCTTCATGCCTTTTTCTGGAGTGTTGTTGAGGTGGAATCGCATTTTCTCCCTGGGGCGCCAGTCAATTGGATCCTTCCAGAATGAGCTCGGTGGAGTCTGACGCCGAACACTCTTCTTCCGGGACCTAGGTTTAATTCACAAATTGGGTATTTCTCTCCAGAGTGTTTCTCCCCAGGGCAACTAATACACTGCATGCCTGCCAGTTGCCAGCCTGGCGAGGGCACGTTTGCGTCGTTTGGCTCATTCACTCTTGCTCTCAGTGTTGTTAGTCCCCAGAATTCAAAAGTTGGAACGCCAGTGGGCGGCACTATTCTTTTCCTACTAATTTGGAGCTTTAATAACACATAAGAGGAAGCACATTAGATTGTATTTACTTATGGAGGGAGCTTTCCCGTTACGTTTTATTTTAAGCTTTTCTGCAAGACTGCAAAAGGAATTTCCAAAAATTCCATTTTTATATGCTATGTTGACCATCTCTGGGATGCAGCTATGGAAGGAAAGGAACTGCCTTTTTTTGTTTTGAGACGGGAGTCTCGCTTTGTCGCCCAGGCTGGAGTGCAATGGCACTAAGTTCGCTTACTGCAAGCTCCGCCTCCCGGGTTCACGCCATCCTCCTGCCTCAGCCTCCTGAGTAGCTGGGACTACAGGCGCCCGCCACCACGCCAGGCTAATTTTTTGTATTTTTAGTAGCGACGGGGTTTCACCGTGTTAGCCAGGATGGTGTCGATCTCCTGACCTGGTGATCTGCCCTCCTCGGCCTCCCAAAGTGCTGGGATTACAGGCGTGAGCCACCATACCCGGCCTTCAGATTTTAATTATAAGGAGAATGTTTGAAGGCTGCCTTAGAGTTTTAAGATTATATTTTGCTATAAGGAAACTCTGTATTTCATCGGTAAATGATAATTAGCGTGTAAGCAACTGTCTTAAGTGAACTAAGTACAGGCTTTCTCAAGGAATACAACGGGTAATATTAATAACCACCGAATACCAAAAATATGTCTTCACCTATTTTGCAAGTGTAGTAATGCATATTGTGATTCATGTGTGGGAGTTTTGTAAATAATAAATAATAAAAGTATACTACACCTGCCAAGACTTATAATTAAAGACTAAATTAAATTAGGAGGCCAAAAACTTAGAAAATGTTATTGGGATCTGCTTTAACTGTAAAAGTTTCCAAATTCTATTTATATTTGTGAAATAAGATTTATAATTCTACATGTGTTTTGGTTCTAGAGATGTGAAGGGTCATGATTTTCCTAGGAAGTTCCACTGACAATTCTGCCCATTCTAGATGAACATCTGTGAATTTTAATTTTTTTTTTTTAGACGGAGTCTCGCTCTGTCGCCCAGGCTGCAGTCGCCCTGACCTTGTGATCCGCGTGCGTCGGCCTCCCGAAGTGCTGGGATTACAGGCTTGAGCCACTGCTCCCGGTCCACCTGTGAATTTTCGAATTAAACTATTACAATAATGGCAGGGGCGGTGGCTCACGCCTGTAATCCCAGCACTTTGGGAGGCCGAGGCAGACGGATTGCTTGAGCTCAGAGTCTGAGACCAGCCTGACCAACATAGCAAAATCCTGTCTCTACAAAAAAATACAAAAATTAGGCAGGCGTGGTCACACCTGCCTGTTATCCCAGCTACTTGGGAGGCTGAGGCAGGAGAATCGCTTGAACCTGGGAGGTGGAGGTTGCAGTGAGCCAAGATCGCGCCACTGCACTCCAACCTGGGTGACAGGGAGAATCTGTCTCCAAAAAAAAAAAAAAAAAAAAAAAAAATATATATATATATATATATATATATGTGCGTGTGTGTGTGTGTGTGTATATATATATAAATATAAAACAATAATAGTAGAGGGGTTCGTCAGTCCCTTTGGCAGCCTACCGAGTATTGATTCAGTAAAATCAATCACCTTTTTTTCTGTCCTTTAATCTTAACAATAGAAAACAAACAAAAATATATATTTTAAAAGCAAAAATAAGGTCATATATTTTCACTTTTTTGCACTTAAGGTAGCCATGAGTATTTATTGGAAGTGATAAAGCCCACCAGGAACATACCTGTAGTCCCAAAATGTTAGGTTTATTCATTTGCAATAGGTTGGAGTTTGGGTAAAATTTAAATGAAGCAATGCCTTGAAAGACTCAAAGCAGGCCGAGCATGGTGGCTCACACCTGTAATCCCAGCACTTTGGAAGGCCAAGGTAGGTGGATCACCTGAGGCCAGGAGTTCGAGACCAGTCTGGGCAACATGGCAAAACTCTGTCTCTTGTAAAAATGCAAAAAATGCTGGGCGTGGTGGCACACGCCTGTAATCCCAGCTACTCAGGTGGCTGAGGCGTGAAAATCACTTGAACCCGGAAGGCGGGGGCTGCAGTGAGCTGAGATCGTGCCACTGCACTCCAGCCTGGGCGACAGAAGGAGATTCTGTCTCAAAAACAAAACAAAACAAAACCCCTCAAATCAAAGTGATGCAGTATGTAAAGAAGTTAATATCAAGTCTGGCCTAAATAGAGTGAGAATTCTAATTCCTTGTAAATGACAAAGTTAAGCTGTTGTGTCTGAAACCCTTTACCTGAAGCTCTGCACCTGGTTGGAAATAAGGACTGCTTTTTCTGGGAGTGACCCATACAGTGGAATACCACTCAGAAATAAAAAGGAATGAACTATGAATACATGTAACAACATGGATTATGCTGAGTGAAAGAAGCCAGATAAAAGAGAGTACATGGTGTATGATTCCGTTGGCATAAAACTTGAAAATGCAAACTAATCTGTAGTGACAAAGCAAATCAGTGATTTCTTGGGTATGGGGGTGGAGGGTGGTGGGAGGAAGGAGAAATGGGAGAGAGGGAGGGATTACCAAGGGGTACCAGGAAACCCTTGGGTGTGATGGATATGTGCGTTATTTTGATTGTGGTAATGGTTTTACAGGTATATATTTCAAAATTTATCAAATATATAAAGTATTGTTTAATTCGTGTCTATTATACTTGAATAAAGCAGTTCAAAAAAGATTTTAAAAAGTCACATATAGTTAGAGTGAAGATTTAGTATTTGATAGCACAACAGCGTGTCTATAGTCAGCAATAATTTATTGTACATTTAAAAATAAAAATATAATTGGGTTGTAACACAAAGGATAAATGCTGAAGTGATGGATACTCCGTTTACCTTGATGTGACTATTATGAATTGTATGCCTATATCAAAATGTCTCATGTACTCTATAATATATACATCTACTATGTACCCCCAAAAATTAAAAAATAAAATGACTCATAGAGCTCAGATCCTACAAGAGTGAGATGTTCCATTTTCACTGCTGAGATTTCAAAGTTTTTGCCAAACTATGATTTTAAAGAACAAGGTTTCTCAACACTATATCCTTGATGGTCATTAACAAAAACTTTTTTTTTTTTGAAATGGAGTTTTGCTCTTGTTACCCAGGCTGGAGCACAATGGCACAATCTTGGCTAACTGCAACCTCCGCCTCCCAGGTTCAAGCTATTCTCCTGCCTCAGCCTCCTGAGTAGCTGGGATTACAGATGCGCACCACCGTACCCAGCTGATTTTTTTTGTATTTTTAGTAGAGATGGGGTTTCACCATGACCAGGCTGGTCTTGAACTTCTGACTTCAGGTGATCCGCTCGCCTGGGCCTCTCAGAGTGCTGGGATTACAGGCATGAGCCACTGTGCCCGGCCACAAAAACGTTTTTTAATGGGTTTGTACAATGTTCACTTAAAGTATCATTTATAATGGCAAGATATTGTCTGTCTCTGATTTAACATACTATATTGTATAGTTAGGTTATTGACAGGATTTTTTGTTTTTTGCCATTAAATGCAGTTCTGTCATGAATATGTTTGTAACTAAATCTCAGTGAATATCCATGATTACTTCCTGAGATGCAGCAGTGGTGCTATAATTGCCTGAGCCATAGCTCACAATTTGTGAATTAAATACTTTCAGTTTGAAAATTTTAAGGGACATGAAGTGCTACCTAATGCCCTTCATTTTATAGATGAGGAAAAGGGAGCTTCAAAGGGTCAAGTGTTATACCCTAGAGTCTGAGTGCTGAGTGACAGAGCCCAAACAGGAGCTCAGACCTCCCACTGCTCTTGACCTTTGATCACTCTTCTTTTTCAGTATACTGTGCAGTCAATTATTGGGATTAGTGTGCATGTTAGTTTGCTAGGGCTGCCATGACAAAATACCACATACTGGGTGACTTAAACAAGAGAAGTTTTTTTTCCTCACAGTTCTGGAGCTGGTAGTCCCAAGTTACGTGGCAGCCTGGTTGGGTTCTGGTGAGATCCCTCTTCCTGGTTGCAGAAATAGCTTTTGTGATGGCTGGTGAAAGAAAAATAATGGCTTGGGTCTTCAAAATGTAGATTCTTGCCATTATAAACTACCGGATCACAGAGTTACACACCTAGGAGAATGATTTTATGGTAAAGCATGGAACTATAGTTAAGTGTGCCAAGAATTTTAAGACACAGTCCGGAAAGGGTTATTCTCAGAATAAAGGAAGAATTAGTAAATAATTAAACTGCCTGCAGAAGTATGCTCAGAATCCTAAGCTAGTTTGTGTTGCTGCAAGGGCCAAGATGTTTCCTTTAAGAGATCAGAAGATAAGCTAAGAATCTGTATGGAACTGAAAACTAGAT